GAATTGATTGTTATGATGAAGTCATTTTTTTTTTTTAATAAAGATAAAGATTCAAAGAAGAGAAAATGAATTTGAAGATATAAAGAAGTGGACTTGATAATTGAAAAAAATGAGAGAATGAGTGGTTTATATAGGCATTGAGAATAAAGTTGTTGAAGAAAAAACAAACAGAATATAGCCATTGGAAATGTGAGTTGTACGGAATGGAAAATACTTAGAAAGTTTTGATTATTTTAAAACAAATCTTGTGTTTTTCTAACTTACTTTATTTTAGCAATTAATAGATTAATATTATGCAATCTAAAATAAAGCAAAGTAAAGTTAGAGATGACACCAGGATTTTAGCTAGGAAACCCCAGTTGATAAAATACGTCAACTGTTTGCATGGGAAAAACCTCGTGGACTATGCAGTCCAAAGTAAATCGATCCACTATGCTTGAAATAAAGTACACTGAACTTTAACTCTGGCTCACATGCACCCTATCGTTCTACCAAACACCAACTGCTGACAATCCTCTGGCTTTGCAACTCCCCGTCCAACAGCAACTTGACTTCAGGCTTATGCTTGATCTTTGTAGAAGAGTAGCAAGTAGATCAGATAACACTTCTCGAATGCTCCAACCCTTTCAAAGTGTGATCGCTTTACTTCTATTCTTTAATCGTCTGAATTCGATGTAAAAGTAGATTTACTTTTATCTGATCAATGTAGATGCAACTGTATGATCACGATCAGGATTCGAATAACACAATTCTAAACTCACTAAGTGTTTATGTGTATATGTTCTAGAAAGACAAACAGAAAATTCTCTAAGAATTTCTAAGACAAAAATCTTTGTAAAGCTTTTTAGAATAATAAACTGATAATGCAAAAGCCGTGAATAAAACTATGTGTATGACAAGGTTTATATAGAGTTTAGAATGTCCTAGTCCCTCTAAAAATATGAAAAAATTCGTGCACAAGACTTGGTATAATTCTAGACCAACTGGGAAACAAATCAGGATAAGGAAACTGAAGTTATGCTATGAACAAGACTTCTTGAACCGGTTCAGAGGTGCTGAACCAGTTCAAGTTTGGCGATTGGATTTCGAAGTCAATCTTGAAGCCTTAAACCGGTTCAAGGAGGCTGAGCCGGTTCAAGTATACTAGACTTGAATTTTTGGTTCAATCTGGCTGCAAACACTGTATTTGGTAAGTCTGAAATAAATACCAAGTGTAGAATGTGTCCTAACCTTTTTAGAATCCTTCCTAATGTGTTGTTCTTACCTTTTTCTTCAAATGATCTCAATTGTGGTAACTTTGAACAACTTCCCAGTTCTGTAGTCGCTGTCGAACTTGATAACTTGTAGACCAAGTAACTTGAATTATAACTCGACTTGGACTTGTTTTGTTTACCATAATTGCCAAAAATAAAATAATATCTTACAAGAAATATAGTCGTTAGGAAAAAGACAAACATAATATAGCCACTGGTTGGGAATATAGCCGTTAAAAAAAAGACAAACAAAATATAGCTATTTAGAAAAATTAAATAAAATATAGCCGTTGAGAAAAAACCAAGTAATCTAACCGTCTGTTTTAAAAACAAAAATGGAACTATTTTTTTTTCCTTTTCTGTTTTTTATTTTTGTTGGGTGTATTTTTAGTCTTCCTTTTTTTTTTTTTTTTTTTAGTAAATAGAAAACCATTTAGTTCAGCTTCCAGAAGATGGAACTTTTTCATCCATGCCCACCAAGAAATACTTGAGTCATCAAAAACTACAGGGTTGTTGTTGTTGTATGACCCTGGGTTATTGTCCAACTATTTCCTCCTTCTAACCTCTAAAAATGAGTAGCCAAACAGTACATGTGGAAGCAAGTCATGCAGCATCAGAAAGAAAATTAGCTTTGCTAGAAATAATATTTCAATGCCATCCTCATCTTAATATAATCTAAATTCGGGGTATACATAGGTGCCATGGCAACAACATATATAATAGCAAACATTATAAATTGGAAGGTAGGAACGTATCGTATTTCAAATTTCTTTTTTGGGAAGATGGATGGTACTTCAATTTGTTCCGTACGGAGGATAAAGCGCATCAAGGAAAATACAAAGAAATGAAACAACAACAGGGCTAAGAATATCCTGAGTACGGTGTACAGCGCGATAAGAAGCACAAAGCAACAATAAGTGGCACTGAGAAATAGTTGGGATATATTTAGTAGAAAATATCCTTCCGTGTAGAAACGGATTGTGCTCATGGACGCATAAAAGGTGACACTGTTTCAAAAATAGAAAACATCGAACTACACCTATGTCATTGTTGATCTCCCTGCAAAATGTGGTCCTCTATGAACTATTCCCCAGGTGGATATGTGACTCATGTCATCTTGCCAGATTCCACCAGGTGGGCTGAGCGCAGCTTGGAATGTGGCTGTTGCAATTAGTACGGCCACAGTCAATACTGCCTAAGACATGTCCTTGTTTGCACCAAGTCCAAAACAGTACTTGTCTAGTTTACCTAATTCTTCAAGGGGATCATCATGTTTAATACATATTCCTCTCAATACTTTAGCTCGGCATAGCATATCTCCAATCTCTATGTTGATGTCCAATTCCATTGGAAGTTGAAAGATGTCCAAAGCTGTTAAGCCCATATCATTCTTTGCATTTACCTTAATCTTTCTAATCACTTCTCTGCCTAACAACAATCTCACAGCCTGATTGCACAGTGGATATATATATTATCTGTTGAATAATAAACTTGATTTTAGTATTTTAGTATTTAGAATTTTCAAGTATTTTTATATCCATGATGCATGTGTTAATTTATCATATATGTTAGTGGGTACTAAATTGTCTTAGTGGGAGTTAAGGTTATGTAAAATCAAGAGTCATGAGAGTTAAGCCTAACAAATACTATGTTAGTGGGAGTTATGCCTATTGAAGATTATGTTAGTGGGAGAAATGAGAGTTATGGGCATATATATGTAATTCATAGATATGTGTTTTCAAGGCCTATATAATCATGTACTCTAGTAATTTTATTAAGATATAAGTGAAATAGTATATTTCTTCCTCCATTTCTCTTTCAAATTATATATAGTTGTATTTGTTCGTATAGACCACTATTTCCATCAAAGTGGTACTAGAGCAAAGTCAGAAAGTAGTATCAGAGAAAAAGCCAACAAAGTGGTATCAAAGCTAATTTGTGAGATAGAGAAGAAATGACAAACAATTAGGTTCTATTTCAGAGCCATATTTCATGTTCAGAGCCTAGACGATCCTGAAGGCCTGACGAAGTTGATCCTAGAAGGTTCAACATTTGAGAAAAAATATGTTTCTCCTTGATGAGGATGAAGGGGAAAAAATGTATTTTCTTAGTGAGAAGATGATGTTATCTAATTAGAGGAGAATGAGAATCATCATGACTTCATACCTCAAAGCATGTGATTTGTGGGATGTTGTTGGATTAGAGCCAAAGAATGGCATGTCCAACAAGCTTCGAGAATAGAAAGAAGAAAAGGCATTGGTAGGGTTGCAGAAAGCAATACATCAAGAAATTTGGGAGTATTTTGGAGAGTCCAAAACTCCAAGTTGTGTTTGGAAGATGCTCGAGACCATCGTTTCCAATCATAGAAGTGAATCACTACCCATGGAGTATCGGGTACAATGCTTTGAGAATGATGAGTTTACGAAGGCTGATTATGAAAGTTTAGAGGACAAATTTGTGGAGAATGAAGAGGTGTACAACACAAATGAAGTTGAAGAAATTGAAAATTCAAAAGTTGAAGGCTAGAGTGAAATGGTGAATAAGGAAGAGATAAAGAAAGGTGTTGAAGAAAAGATTGAAAAAGTGGAGGAGATTGAAATAGAAAGAGAAATTAAAGAAGAAGAAGGTGCTAAAGAAGAGACAAAAATTGATGAAATTGGTGAGTTAACAATTTCAGGTATGGTTCCAAATTCCAATTTCAAAGAAGTTATTATTATTATTTTTTTATTTTTTCATAATTGGGATTGTATAAAAGAAAGAAAAAAGTTAGATATAACTTATTTAATAAAATTTTGATTTCTTCATATTCATCCCAATTGAAAAAAGAAATCAAATATTATGATAATTGTGTTCATGTTGTGGAGAATGATGAACTTTTATTGGAGAAAGTTGTTTTAACGAAGTATGAGATTGAAGCTCAAGTTGATAATAATTTCTCAAATTATTTTTTGAAAAATGGTTTGGAGAATTTTGTAATTGACACAGGTTGGGTGAATATGGAGTTATTTTTTAATTCCAAAGTAGTAGCAGATGTGAAGTTCAAGAAGTATCGAAATTTCAAGAAGAAAGAAGATTGGTGTGTTTGTGTGAAGAAGATAAAGATCGATACTGAGAATGAATTATTCAAGCATTTGAAGAAGTTTCACAAGCCCTACACATCAATGGAAATGGCCAAGAAGATTGAAGCTATTGAAGGAGGTGGAATTTAAGATCAACCATTGAACTTTTGATCAAGCCCCCAAGATTAATAAGATTCTCAAGTTACAAAAATCAAGTTTAAGGGGGGGAGAGGGGGGGGGGGGGGGGGATGTTGAATAATAAACTTGATTTTAGTATTTTAGTATTTAGTATTTTCAAGTATTTTATATCCATGATGCATGTGTGAATTTATCATATATGTTAGTGGGTAGTAAATTGTCTTAGTGGGAGTTAAGGTTATGTAAAATCAAGAGTCATGATAGTTAAGCCTAACAAATACTATATTAGTGGGAGTTATGCCTTTTGAAGATTATGTTAGTGGGAGAAATGAGAGTTATGGGCAATTCTATGTAATTCATAGATATGTGTTTTCAAGGCCTATATAATCATGTACTCTAGTAATTTTATTAAGATATAAGTGAAATAATATATTTTTTCTTTCATTTCTCTTTCAAATTATATAGAGTTGTATTTGTTTGTATAACCCACTATTTCCAACAAAGTGGTATCATAGCAAAGTTAGAAAGTGCTATAAGAGAAAAAGCCAACATTATCAAGGCATTAGTTAATATATATATACTCCAATTAATATGCCTGCATATACAACTAAAAGAATTCTAAAAGAACACCACAGAGAATATGATAAGTCACCGTGACGGGTTGAATATATAATTAAGAGTACTCTTGCCTAAGTTTGATTCTTGGATATGGCCATATGCAAGATGGTGGTGCCATCATCATCTGGCCAGTTTAAGATGTCTTCCTTGTCGGTCTTCTTTGGCCATCCCACCAAAGCCTCAAAAATCCTGGGAACGTAGTATTTTAGGGCAACATGCAGTGCAGTTTCTCGTTTAGTTGTCAAATCTTCAATGGAGTCTGGGCAAGCCAATAGAAACGATCTCAAAAGATTAACATTTCCTTGAGCAATCACATAATGCAAAGAAGTCATGCCCTCATCTCCTCCTTTGTCACGGACCAAGTTGCTATCAACAGAGACAAACCACTCGACCACGCGATGATGCCCACTTCGCAGAGCAAGGTGGATGGGGCTATGGCCATCTAGGTTGAGCTTCCTGGCGTACGACGGCTTCAACTTCATGACTTCTGCGGCAAATTGAAGGTTACCCGTTGATGCAGCCACATGTAAAGGAGTATCAGCTAACAAAAATTTATCATCCATATTGCGCTCCAAAATATTTGGATCCTCTTGAATTAATGTGTACAAAAGTTGGATGTTTCCCTCTTGAGCAGCCGCCCTCAACCTGTCATCCATTCTAAGACAACTACAGTTATAGGTAGTTGAAGAAGATTGCTTTATATGTGTGTGTATATATATATGGTTGTTGAATATGTATGCCGATTGAGCATGCATATACCGCCGAACTCGCTAATATTTATAAGGAGTCCATTTGCTTTGTCTAGTTAAATCTTCGTACACAATGAAAGAAAATTCAGTGCAGCTTCCCCCCATAAACCTGGAAACTTCCTGGAATAAAGGGTAGTAAAAAAGGCGATGGACCCGCATCAGCAATCCCAATTCCCTTTAAAGTAAACGCCGGTCAAGCACATCGAGCCGCATTAGCTATCCGAATCTCCTTGCAGTACAACTGTACAAGGTTGTGATAGATGAATTTACACCCAAGTTTCTACAGACCCTTCACTCCTATTAGATATGTTTAGTTTATTGTATAAGTCAACAACTTGAGAATTAATTATGAAAAATTAGATGATATTATAAGGTCCCATTGTGGGAAACACAGAGAAAATTCGTACTAGAACCTACTTGAAATGGTTCAAGTTAACAGACATCCACAACCTACTTGAAATGGTTCAAGTTAACAGACATCCACAACCTCGACTTTCAAAAAATTAGTGAAAATAAATAAATCAAAAAAATCAAAAAAGTATCCAATGGTCGGTCTTCACACGTAGTTTCTTTATTTAAATGCCATATCCAAGATAATTGAGTGCTTAAGAAAAATAAATATTGCTTAGGGAAATGAGTAACTACAGGTATTTCTTTTTTCTTTTTTTTTTTTTTTTTTCCGATACAAGTATTTCTTTTATGCAGTTTCTGTTGTATACCAATGAAAGTATATATATCTCCTATCAACCCTACAAAAGAATTTTTAGATAATTTGGGGGAGAAAAAAATAGTAGTACCATAATGGACACAAAAAGAAAAATCAGTGCAGCTTCCTCTGGATAAACTTGGAAATTTCTGGGTAAACGGTAGTGAAAAATGCCATGGATCCCCAGCAGCAATCCGGATTCCCTTTTTGAGCAAACGTAGTCAAGGTCGTCGGGAATGAATCCACACCCAAAATCAAAGTTACCATGGAGCCACCTACCCACTTTTATTAAATTATATTACTTTTTACACAAACTTATTTTAATAAATACGAAACTTAAATGCTAATTTAATTTTTTTGTTTAAAAGAGAAAAAAATAAAATTATTATGCATTTTTAATTATTTTTTTTAATTAAATCAAAATAAAAAATAAAACTTTATTATTTAGATTTTTTTTTTTTTTTTCCCGATAACCGGGGTGTCAGGGCTTTGCCTCGACTAATTCACAGAACTCGTACAAGGTAACCCCCACACGGATCAAATAAAACTCGAACTATGTCCGCAGTCGTGACCTCAAAAAATTATTTAGGATCCTCTTGAATTAATGCATACAAACGTTGGATGTTTCCCTCTTGAGCAGCCTCCCTCAACCTGTCATCCATTCTAAGACAGCTACGGTTTTATATTATCTGTGCTGAAAATGTATGCCAAGTTAGCATTGTCACCACCTAGCTCTCTTCTCGATCTTTTAAAGGAGTCTTGTTATAAACCTTACACAATGAAAGAAAATTCAGTGCAGCTTCCTAGGACAAAAAAAAGTCAACAAAGGCCTTAGCAATCGACGGAGACACTTACCCACTTTTATTAAATTACATCCTTTTTTCTTCAACCTATTTCACAGTTTTCCACAAAAATAGTTTGTTACCCAAAACTTTGCAATTATTCTAATAAAGGGTTAAAAATTGGGTAACTTCCCTATTAATGAGTAAAAAATTGAACAAGGAAAAGCAATCGATGGAGACACTTACCCACTTTTATTAAGTTACATCCTTTTTTCTCGTTGCCAAAAACAAAATATGGGAGCTGAGATTCTGGCAATGCCCTCTTTTTATTTGCCCGACGGTTATGCATTCAAATGTTCCCACATTTTTACCATATTACTCTTAATTATTGAAAAAAAAAAATTGAACATGGAAAATAATGACCGTGGGCTAAGAAACACGATACGATGAACACGGGACATTAGTATAATATGATACGAATACGATATATACAAACAAAATAATATTTTTTAGTCGATTCTTTATTTTATTTTATAATATTACATATTTAAATGCAATCATTAATATATTTTAAAATTTGTACTAAGTCATGATTTTATAGCACTTATTATTATTTTTTTAAATAAATAAATAAATAAAATTTAAACTTTCACACTGGCCGGCATAAGCATATGAAATGGACTTCTTGAATGTAACGAGTCCATTTGCTTTGTCTTGTTAAACCTTCGTACACAATGAAAGAAAATTCAGTGTAGTTTTCCCGCATAAACCTGAAAACTGTGAAAACAAGAGTTATGCGGGGTGCGGAAACAATCAATTGATTTTAATTGTAATTAACTCCTTTAATGACCTAAATCTGATTATTAGGTCAACTTGCTCAATTTGTGATTGATTAAATTATATGATCAATTTAAACATTCACAATCATAAATATATGTAAAGTAAAGCAAGTTAGAGTTAGAGAAATTGCACCAGGATTTTAGCGAGGAAATCGCAGTTGATAAAATACGTCAACTGTTATGGGAAAAACGTCATAGACTGTGCATTCCAATATAAACCAATCCACTATGTTTGAAACAAAATATACCGAACTTTTACTCTGACTCACACCCTATCGTTCTACACCACACCAACTGTAAAACTCCATAAATAAGTATTATATATATATATATATATATATAGACGTATATTATTATTTAGGCATTATCTTTAATTATTATTTTGGTAAGCGATTGTATTTAAAATGAGGTAGAAGAGTTATTATTTAGTTTATTTGAAATTTAAAAAGAGTTCTTACTGAACACAACCACTACATATCTATCTAGACTTGGTTGTATTTAGTTTTTTGGGAACTAGGCTGCTCTTCTGAGAAATTTTACTCGTTCATTGCTGAGAGGTGAAGAAAAACTCAACTTGTGATTACATTTCAGGCAAGTTAATTCTTGCTTTTATTTTCATGTATATGTCGTAGCATGACCCGTTATTTAATATTGATTATACAGTATATGTTATTTTAGGCAAGGAATGATAAGTTAATCTTATTTAGGATTGCACTATAGATAATCTTGTTGTTGCCATTATGTAGTTGGTCTCTTTTCTAGATTAATCAGAGGTTGCAAAATGATTGTAGATCTGTGTACATAAATATTATATATATTGTTATCCACCATGAATCATGATTTAAGTAGGTGATATTTTAGATAATGAAGATGGATCGGTGGACTGGGGTGAATGAATACTAAAGAAAACATGGGTATTGTAATTACTGTTAACTCAATCACGCCTTTGTGGAGCACTACTATTATTAATTATTGGTTACTCATATGATATCTCAATGAGCATGTACAGTACTGGTGTAAAATGAGGAATGCATCAGTATGTTGGTTAGTGTGTATATGGTAGTAAGTGGGTCTTCAGTTAGCAAATATTTTAAATGGACATGGATGAATTTTGTATGAAGCCTATAATTATGGTACTATTTGGAGTCCTCTCGAACTAGATTTTAGAATATTGAATTATTAATTTTGGAGGCATTTGTTTAGCAATCAAGTGTAGGCATTGATTGAACAAAGTATAATAAATGATTTGATGATTACATAGATAATATAATGGATTTTTAGAGATATTTTTTATACATGGAAGATAGTGTATATCTACATATGTATAGGTGGAATAGTATTATTATGTGCATTTGATTACATGACGTGGTTTTGGGAATTCATGGATTTATGCATTTTTCTTTACACATAACATAATGTACATGAGTAGTTGAATTTAAGGGTGTCTACAGTGAAGTGTTTGAGGGCCTGCTAATGGGTTTTTATTTTAATGAGTAGTTAGTTGGGCACATGGCTGAACCTTTGTTGTTGGGTGGTAACGAAAGAATATGATTGAGTTACTGTTAGGTTCTGGCTGTTAGTACCTATTAATTATGTTAATTATTATTTTTTAGTGAATTTAATTAAGGTGTTTGATAACTCATGATATTATGACTAGGAATTAATTAAATGTTTTTAGTGTTTAATTAAAGTGATTAAACTAGTTGGAGCAGTAGTCTAGGACTTAACTAATGATGAGGTTGTTGAGCGCAGTCAGGGCTGTCTACGGGAGTGAATTACTCTTTTGTTATGGCCATTGGGCTAAAGGTGCCCTTAGTATGTGGACGTGGTCAGGAGCCATCTGGGTTAGTAGACGTATAACCCAGTCACATGTGTGTATTTGGTAGTCAGGGACTATACAGTTCACACCATTTATTTGGAGTGGAGCCAAGGGCTCATGTGAAGTAATGGCATTAGAACGCCAACTGGCTGAGGGGAGCCAGGGGCTCATGTGAGGTAAGTGAAATTTTAGTAATTTTAATTCTAGATGGGTTACAAGTTCACAAATTGAGTTAATGTTATAGAATGACGATGATTAGTAGATATTTCATGGTCACTTATATATGTATATATATACGGATTATAAGTAAGGATTGACTTGTTGAACGATGATAGTGTTTAGCAATTTCTTACTGAGCTTGTGAGCTCACCCCTTTATTACTTTCATGTGCACATGGATTTAGCTTGCAAAGGAGGCTCAATGGGAGAAGGAGATCTTCCGGATTTCCACATATTGATTTTATTATTGTTTCTTAGCAAACACTTTGTAATAAGATTCACTTAGTTCGTGGAATTGTAATTAGTTGGGGATATAATAGATTTCCTTTGGATTGATGAATTTTTAAATAAAATGTATTCTTACTGATTTTATCATGGATTATAGTGGATGAATGATGTGAGTCACGTACCATATTTTAGTCTAAGACAAGGGTTCTTGTGTTAAAATTTTTGGGGCGTGACACCAACCGCTGACGATCTTCTGGCTCTGTGATTCCCCGTCCAACAGCAACTTGACCCTAGGCTTACACTTGATATTTGTAGCGGAGTAGCAGGCACTCCACGAATGCTTCAACCCTTTCAAAGTGTGACTGCGTTTACTTCTGTTCTTCAA